TAGTATCCATTACACATCTGGGAAGCAATGTGGGCTTGTCTACAAAACATTCTCATCATTTCAGATGAAGTGCTCACCCTCACCAGAGCTGAAGCAGGTCTATAATTGTTGGAATCGACTCTTATTTTGGCGCCCACCCTACACTATTCAAGAGCTGCAACTTAAAGGGGAATTTAAGTCCTCCGGTCTTGCATCTCTTGGTATGGCGACTTTGATTTTAATCTGGATCTCGCCAGTACCACTTACTCGACCCCCTTTGTGCGATATCTAGTGGTCCGACAAAAAAAAATCCGGCCCTTCCGATTTACATTACAAATATTTAACGGATTTGGAACACACACATATATATTAACACCGTCATGATGATGTACTTGTATTTGCATACATTTCTGAATATGCAAGCCCGCCGTTTCTAAGGGAAATTTTTACATCTAGAAGATGGGATTTTCATTCATAATGGGCTTTAAAAGAGAGTGGACTGGGGATCCTGCGGCTCGCACATTGCCCGGTACGTCTTAAACGGGGAAGTTATTCGGCAACTCCTTCCTAACCCCCTGGCGCGAGAGAATAGTCGTTCAATGTTCTGTGGGGCTTCTACCCTTTACCGTTTCCGTTTCCTCTTCCTCTCCAGTCTTCATTGCCCTTCGCAGAAGATACAATTCCTACCTTCCCTCACTCGCATATGTATCTCCCTTCAAGCATCTCTACAACGTTCGCTGATCGGCTCGTGAATGTAGTATTTCCTTGAGAGAAATTTCTCTCAAGGATCAAATATTAGGTAATTATCATATTATCGAAGGAGTATCGATAGGAATGCGTCTGCTGATGAGTTTTGATCGCTTCGTCTCCAAAATTTTCCACTTCCACATCGAAGCTACTTACTGTAAGTGCAAACTAGGTAATATAAGATTTAGGCAAGTAGTGCTAATCTGTAGTGAATAGCCAACGAAAATATGTTCTTTACCACAATTTAATGAGATAGTCGAGAATGTCACTACGCTAACGAGGCCGTCGTTAAGGAAAGCACAGAGAATGATGCCAACAGGTCGGATGAGGATGAGGAACGATACCACTTCGGTTGATAGCCGGATTCTGATATGAGATGCCTCAAAGGCATCGGAGAACTTTCGTTTACCGTGCAAGAAGTGCCTTTCAAAAATTGTCGCCGGTGTCATGCAAATAGGTAACACTGTGATCAGATACATATAGGAGACAACTTTCTTCTGCAAACTTCTGCAAACTGTTGACTGTGTCTGGTCAGAGAACTTGCAGAGGTATCAGTTCAGAGTGCTGCTGGGTGTTTAATACTTGAGTCTGTCCTCTCATCACCGTAATTGCTCAGTCAACCGCAGCTGCTCTTGATGTCGGCGCAGAGCACGGCGCTTTCTTTTTTTTCCAGTCCCTGGCGCTCTTGGATTGCCAGCGAAAATATATCCCGCAAGGAGAAATACTGATGATGCCAACAGAGTAGCCGTTTCACCGCAAGAATCAGCAAGACCTTCTCTCCGATCTTGTTTTCCACGTCTCACGCTGATCAGAGCACGAAATTATGCTCCGACGGGCCGAACTTAGAGGTCAACCTGCTGAGGTGGTATAATCGTGCCTTAGCTTGTTCTCCCTCACCCACTATTCTCTCGAGCTTCTCGCACCGCCAACTCAGGATGGCAGAAGAAAAGAATTAAAAAAGAACAAAAAGACAAAAAGAATATCAAGTATGCTCATCCCG